GGGACCCCCCCCCCCCCCCCCCCCCCAAAAAACGATTAGTCAGCCCTGATACGCAGCTCGATCAGCTCAAACCGTGGACAGCATCAAGATGAACTAATCCGTAAAATCGATTGAGACGACCCGGGACCAGGCATACACACAGCTGGTTGATGCCGCCCAGATGCGTCCTGGAAGACCGAAGGCGGCAGTCGCACCGTGCCAGTACTGCAACAGGCAGTTCAAACGGGCCGAACACCTGGCCCGCCATGAGCGCACTCGTGAGATACTCCCATCCCTTCTTTGGCCACTATGACCCAGTCAGTATCTTTGCTAACGGCTATCCAGACACACGGGACAAGCCCTTTGCCTGTGACTGCGGCCAGAGCTTCACCAGGCAGGACCTCCTTGCGCGCCATGTCAAGCTGTCGCACGCATCCCGGCCTGTACCGCAGCAGGGAGACAGCCAGAGGCTGTCTACACCCTCCACAGGCACGGACGGAGGTATCGTTGGTATGGCCAACACGGATATGGATCTGTTCTGGGACCCGGGAGAATTCATGGTGCAAGACACCCTGGAGACGATGCTCCTTGACCCCAACTTCTCATCTTTTGTCAACCCTGCGCCCCGACTTGGCTCCTCCTCCCAGACTGAGAGTTTCACAAAGTTCAGCTCTCGCCTGCCAGCTCTGGGCGAGACCGGGGACATTGGACAGGAAGAAGGTATCCATGATGGACAGCCTACGGCAGTTGACGGAACCTCCCGCGAATCATGGTACATCTCCGAGCCAGCCTATCGAAAGATCTGCGACGAGGTTCAGAGTATCTCACACCTGCTCACGCCAAGCCTCACTATCCCATCAAGAGACACCCTCATGCGATATTTGGAGATTTACCTCGTCTGCGCAAGTAAATTCTTGCCGTTCATTCACCCGCGAACCTTCTCAGCCGACCACAGGCAAGTCGAGCTGACACTCGCAGCGACTGCCACCGGATCACTCTACCGGTTTGATCGTATCAAATCCTACGAGCTGTATTTCATGTCGAAAGAACTGCTGATGGAGAGGATACGTCGCCGGTATTCCCAGCATGCAGCTTCTCTGCTGGGGCAAGGAGCTCCACCCACGGGTTCAGGGCCAGAGCTGGGGATTGTCCAAACCCTCATACTGCTCATTTCTTTTGCATCTTGGGCAGACAAGACCGTCGCACTGGACGCAGTATCCATGACCAGTCAGCTCGCCGCTCTCTTGAGGCAGTGCGGCATCTCCGATTCGGACGAGATGGCACCCGATATCGACTGGGTGCATTGGATCGCCGTCGAGGAGAAGCGAAGGACAATCTTCGCCGCTTACACTCTGTTCGGGCTGCATTCTATCGCCTTCGATGCTCCCCCGCTCATCTTCAACCGGGAGATTGGCGTGTGTCTACCGGGGTGCCTAGAACAGTGGAATGCAAAAACTGCAGAAGACTGGCAACGATCTGCGAGGCCTGCCGAACGGCACTTTCAAGAGATGCTGCACTTGCATTTTGATGGGACTGGCGTGCCCCAGGGTGAGGTCTTGTCTTCGTTTGCCAATTACTTGCTCATGCATGGTATATTGCAGCACATCTACCTCGGCCGCCATGCTGCTCTGAGTGCTTCCCAGTCTCTTCACGATCGGGGCTCTATAGAGTCGGCGCTGCAAATCTGGCAGGCGTCGTGGGAAACAACCTGGGAGTCGACGCTCGATCCGCTCTCTGACAAAGGGCCTTTTGGTTTGACGGCAACCGCACTGCTACGACTGGCGTATATACGGCTCAACACCGATGTCGGACCACGCCGGGGTCTGCTGGAAAGAGACCTCGATACCATGATCAGGACTAAGTCGAAGCTGCAGAGGTCGCTACACATCGACAGAACCATCCTCCACGCGGCGCATGCGCTGAGCATACCAGTTCGGCTGGGAGTCTCATACATGTCTTCTTCTGTAAATCCAATCTGGACGATCGAGCATTCGATCTGTAGCCTCGAGTGCGCCTTGCTCCTCAAAGATTGGCTGGAGACGATAGCAGCAGTAACCAGGTCCGCGGGCGCCGAGGAGGGCCTTCGTAAGGGCGAAAAGAAACTCCTCGACATCGTCGTCGACATCATCAAAGAGACAGACTTCTCCGCCACACTAAACATCATGGAGGACGAGGCATCGCGCTATCAACGCATGGCGGCCACGGTCATCAAGATCTGGGCACAGATCTTCCAGGGCACCCACGTCCTCGAGATCGACGACGCCATCGGCGCAAGCTTTCAGCTCCTCGACAAACTGCTCATTACTATGATAGCTAATTAATCTTGATCAGGTCAAGGGAAATTAATTACAACCTTGCCCATGTGCTTCCCGGCCTGGATGTACCTGAGCGCCTCGACGACCTCGTCCCGGCCGAACCCAAACGTCCTGTCCAGCGGCACAGGCAAGCTTCGCGACGCGACGAACCGCACCGCGTGCTCGAACTGCTCCTTGGACCCGGCCAGAACGCCGCGCACGACGCAGCCCTTGCCCAGCGCCGCCATGGTCACGTCGGGCAGCGGCTCGCCGGGCCCGGGCCGCGACAGGAACCCGATGACGGAGACGACGCCGCCGTAGGCCACGGCCGCTAGGCTCTGGGCGATGGTGCCCGTGCCGCCGTTCTCGACGACGTGGTCGGCGCCGCGGCCGCCCGTGAGGCGGAGCACCTCGGCGGACCAGTCCGCCTGCGTCGCGTAGTTGACGGTGTGGTCGGCGCCGTAGTCGCGCCGGGCCCGCGCGAGCTTGTCGTCGCTCGAGGAGGTGACGATGGTGGTGCAGCCTGCGGCCTTGGCGAGGACGAGGGCCGTGAGGGAGACGCCGCCGGTGCCTGTGTGCACGCTGTCAGCGCTTATTTGCGGTGCTGTGCACCACCCTGGGTGGGGATGGGAGTGCTGCCGAATAAAAGAAAGGAAAAAAAAAGGGCTTACCCAATACAAGCACCGTCTCGCCCGGCTTCAGGGCCTTGTGCCCGTAGAAGGCGTTCCACACCGTCGACGCCGTCGTCACGATCGACGCCCACTCGGCGAGGGAGTGCTTCGAGTCGGGGAGCTTGATCAGCGCGATCGCGGGAACGACGACGTACTCGCGCAGCATGCCGTCGACGGGGCCGCCCCAGGTCGGGCTCAGCGGGTCGGTCAGGAAGCCGTACAGCAGGGTCGGGTTGACGATCGCCGTGACGCGGTCGCCGACCCGGAAGGCGCCGTCGTCGGCCCCCTCGCCCAGGGCGGCGACCTCGCCGGCCATGTCGCAGGCCGGGCAGACGTTCTCCCTCACGGGGAAGAGGTACGTGTCGGTGGCGATGGCGACGTCGCGGTAGTTGAGCCCGACGCTGCGGACCTTGACCAGGACCTCGTGGCGGCCCGGCTCGGGCACGGGCTCGGCGCGGGCCTCGAGGCACTCGACGCCGGTGCGCGGGGAGGTGAAGCGGAGGACGGTCTGGGTCTGGGAGGACATTTTGAAGGGTGTGTTGGATGATTATTACGAACGGGGGAGATGCTGGGATGATGCTGTAGAGGGAGGAGGTCTGTCCGGATTGGTTCGGTTGAGGACACGGAGGCAGACAGACGCCTTTAAATACCTCAGTCTCACAGAGGATTACATCTCGAAGAGCAAGAACAAGGAGTGATGAGTGTCTGGCGATTTGTCATCCGTGCTGGACATTTCCGAGCGGCTTGGGGTAAGAAAGGGGAGGACGAAGAGCGAGTTGGGGTAAAAAGGGTAGAAAATGGGTTTCGCGACATTTCGGGCGTACATGGCAGGCAGGCTTTGCCCCTTTGAGCAATGCATGCTACTGGGAAAAGTCAAACGTATGGCAAAAAGGAGCATTCCAAAGATTCTTTTGTCGAGGAACAGAGCTGGAGTCGAGACGGGAGAGATGTCAATGGAACGAAAAGACAGAGGGCTTGGTGGGGCTGGTGGGAAAGCCCACACAAGCACAATTAAGGCGGGTTCCCACCAAAATAATGCCGCAGTAGCTCAGTGGTAGTAGCGTTGCACTTGTACTCATTTGGGTAATTACATGCAAAGGTCGCCTTTTCGATCAAGGTCTGTGGCATATTTTTTTTTCCTTTTGCCCCTTTTTCACATCTTGTTCCCCCTCGATCTTGTGGTTCTTTTGGCCATATTCTCTAGTTCATGTGTCTCTTTTTGACATAGTCTTTTCCTCTGCCTAGTTCATTCGGTCCTATTCCCATCACCGACTTAATGGCTGGGTCAACAAGGACGGGTATATAGGGATGATAATGCTTTACAGTGTCGAAAGGCAAGGCACATGTAGCAGCTATGGCGGTTCCATTACGCGTCTATCAATGTACGAAGCATGCTTGTTTGTCCTTGAGGGGGTTCCCTATTGGTAGCATAGCTTTGTGCAGTAGGAATTGAATGAGACCAGACTTTGACATTAGCATACAAGAACCTGACCTAAAATCAGGTACGCCTTGGAAGATGTTTATTTACTGTACTTGTTATTTTCCTTTCTTCCGTAGTCGAAATCCAGTCTCAACAAGTTCATGTCTACCGTTCGCTATTTCAGGGGACACAAATGGCCAAGAACGGCAGCTTGGAAGGAGTTAGGCCTCCGGCATTGAACATAATGTCACTCAGCTGGGCTTAGCAGTTAAGCTTCGTGATCTGCAGACATGTTGGCAGTAAACCTACAGAGCCCTTAAGCTCTTAATTCATCTGCTAAGTTGTTATCGCATGCTGATCTCTTCGTGTGCGACGTTGGCTTCGGCGGGTTCTGCCACGGCCTGACGAACGATGTGCCGATGGTGCGGGCGGGCGTCCAGGCCGACAGGCCAACGAAGGAGGCGCAGTGACGGGCGGCGGACCGGGTGCTGAGCACGCCAGCATACAAGCGGCGCCTGTGCAGTCGGGGGAGGAGAGTCGGAGGATGGATGCGCCGGAGCATATCGAGAGGCTTGTTGTGCTGGGGGCCTAGAGAGTGATGGTTCCATGACACGATGGATGAGTCCCTTTCATCGTGATTCCAGAACCCTACTTTACACGACCTTCTATTCCTCGGCTCTCCCCTTATACGCAAACACCATATACAACTCGAGACTCACACAAGTACACACATATCACACACTACATGACAAAGTCTTCCGGCCAAGGCGGAGCAAAAGAAGATCAAGCCAGAATGAACTAGTATACAGTTTACAAAACACACAGTAACGACCTCATATAAACACAGACACAAGAAGAAACAAAGTATGACAAGAAACACAAAAGCCAAGGGATATATCACCCACACAAAACCCCAGCCGACAAAAAAATGCCTCGAATTCCAATCATCACACACACACACAAAAAAGTACCATCCCCACCCCCATCAGCACACCCTGCTTTGTCCCCCCC